GCTACTTAACCTTACATGAAAAGTACGTTTTTACCATCTTTCTAATGAAGAGACAGTCCTTATTTCTTCTTCTAAGCTGGCCACTGCTAATAAATCCATCCAAGTTATGATTCAAAAAGTTCAGAACTGTTTAACTTGTCTTCTTCATACAGCAAAATGTTTTCCATGAGCTTCTTTTTTTGGTCATTTATCTGTATTTTCCAAGATGTCTCTCTGGCTAAGGCTGAAAAACAAAATGCCCAAATATTGAGAAAAAAAAATCCATTTATTGTCTAAGGAATAGATGATAACTCTAAAATAAAAAAAAACAACCACCTAAACTAGCTTAGGAAAAATATCTAATAGAAACCCACAAAACATTGTGTAGATTTACTAATAAATTCATAATCAAGGAGAAAAGATGAAATGTTTAGAAGTAGGAAGAAGAACCTAAGCAATCCTGGAGAAGAAAGTAATTTGTCCCTGTCTGACCCCGCCAGGGCACCTTTACCTTGTGAAGCACAGGAGTCCAGGCTGTCCCGTGCACAGGTGCCCTGGGCAGCAGCTGCTGCCTCTGGGACGACGACGCCCCTGGCACACGCCGCGTTCCTCTCCTGCAGTCCCTGGGCAGGTTTCTCCTGCTTGACCCCGTGACCAGAACCTGCCACCTTTTCTGAAGTGGTACAGCTGTGGCTAGATAGCTCCTCTGTGGATTTTTCTGGAGGATTCCATATGAAACTACTGGACTCATCTGATTCACAAGGGACCCGTGACACGTGTCCGCAGAAGGTGTCGGGTGCCGTGGCTCCCATGGAAGGGGCACAGGGGCTGGCACTGGACAGGATGGCTGCCTGGGCACTCTCCTCTTTATTCCCCACTGCAGAAGGCACATCCATGCTCAGACTGGCAGTCTCATCATCGGTTTCTTCTGGAGTGTTCATGGAGAAGCCGGAAGTGCTGCTTCCACAGATGTAATGCTCTCTTAATTTATTTTCAGCCATTTCCATAATTTCAAGCACCTGTTTTTAAGAACCATATCTGTGAATGCAGAATAATTCCTGTACCCCTGCTTACACATATTTTCCTATGTCAACACTCCCCAAAATAAGTAAGGCATGAATGTTGTTAGCTCCTCGATGACAAGGAGACTGAAATGTTGGTCGTGTATTTAAAATATTACCTCTGCTATGTTAGAACTCTTCTTTCTCAGGCAGAGGCAGATGGCTGAGGCAAAATCAACTGCAACCTCTTCTGGCAAGTGTCCTGCTTTCCTGTCTAGGTATTTGCAGCAGATTTCATTGGCAGCCAGCTTTTCCAAAGTTTTTACTTTGGAGTGTGAGCTTTCTTTCGCTGTTTGAATTTCATCAGCAATCATATCTTTCTGTTCAAAGGAAGGAGATGCATTAGTGAAGGCAAAATTAACACAAGCATTTATTTCTGCCTCAGTCTCTGAGAATGAGTATTGCCATGTTTGTCATTAGTGCTCCTCAATGGCTGGTTCACAGACTGAGAAGGTTTAAGAATCTCCATTCCTGCAGCTGACAGAAATGTTTGTTTTCACAGGAGAGAAAAGGGCAGAGGCTTTCTCTGCATGTGTCCAATGCCAAATTCCCTAAAGCAGGCCCAGCTCTTCTTGGTTTGTGCCACTTTAGATAGGGATGAAAAAGAGCCAACACTTGTAGAGTAGCATTCTTGCACAGGCCGTGGTGACATGTTAAAGAAATCAAAGATGCAGGATCTTTGATTTTCTGAACCCCTTTGAACGTTGCTGAATTGCTTGGAAATAGTAAGTGATAGAACTGTTGTTCTCCCCTCCAAGGCTTCAGCCAGATGGGAAATCAGGAGCATGTCCCACAGAAGGAATGCAGGTGGAGGCTGCTCTCTGCAGATAGTGTCAATGATTCAGTGAGCCTGGCTGTTCTGGTTGCTTGTGGAAGTAGAATGTGTAGCTCCAACCTCACCTTGGGAAACTCGCCAGATTATCAATTCCAGGCCAGAGTGCAAGACACAAACACCCGATAAACATGATAATGAGCACCTGCAGTTCTCACCCAGCCAGGTTTCCCCACTCAGTGTGGCTCAGAGCACCTCTTTCTGGCACACAGAAAACGTGCAGCAGCATTTTGGCACAAGGCTTTGTCTCTTAAATAAGCACGGATTTATTCTGGAGTTTTTCCTAATACAATCAGAGCAGCACTCAGGAGCGTGCTGTGTGAAATGGGAATATCTATTCTGCCTCTGTCTAAAGGCAGGCAGGCTACTGACATTAACAGAGCCTGGATATGGCTCCTAAACATCCCTTCTTCAGGACATGGTACAGCAGATGGCAAATATCAAACTGTATTTAAGTAAAATTAATTTTATGACAGCAACCCCATTCACTTGTGTTGGTGTCCATTATTCCTGCTGCTTCTTACCAGATAAATTGGGTGTCTGCCTTCATCCAGTGCCTTAAGCCCCGACAGTACCTCTGCTAAGACCTAGAAAGTGCATTTGAAAGACAAAACAGTTTGTTCAGAATGAATTACAATTTTAAAAACTAGTTTTGTAACTAAAGAAATATTGAACTGCCAAGGCATTTTGATATTCAATTTTTACTTCAGATGGCTTAACAATGCCAGCTCTGGGCATTCATGAGACTTTAGAACTACCTCCAGAGCCAAGTCCAGATTTTATAGTTAGGTACAATAGATACTGTTGAGACAAAGGATGAGAAGAAAGTCAAGCTAAATGTAGATAAATGAAACACCTGGAGACAGGTGACATCACAGACTATCAATCATTTTTGTTGAAATTCCAGATTACAGGTGATGTTTGTAGCAGCTCATGTGGCAATTCTGCAAGAATTCTGAGAACTTAACTTTTTATAAACAATCAGCACCAATATTTTTTTTTGCTAAAAGAAACACTTGTCTGTTGTTCAAAAGATTCACCTCACTTTGCCACAAACTGAAGTACATTTGGAGTGTGAACATAATTAAAACCAGGATTTCAACACCTTCTAGAGCCAGCAATTATGATATGAAATTGCCAGCAAAACAACCACACGAGGCACTTGTTCTTATATCCAATTTCCTGTCTAGAAGCACTGAAGAATGCAATAGAGCATGGAAAAAGGAACCATACCACACCACAGCTGAATATATCCACTTTTTCTGTTAACTTCCCATGTCTGATAAAATCTTCTGGCAGGTAAGTAAGAGAAGCTTGTAAGACTTTGGTTTTCATCACGGCATATTCTGATTTTTTATCGGCAGATTGCAATCGCAGGCCAGAATGTCCAAGCTTTGGCGTAAAGTTTTCATCCAACAAGACATTTGAGCTGTGATAAGGACAAAGAAATAACATTACTGGTCAAGTCATTACTTTAACTTGAGGCAAAGAATTAGTTTTACACTTTTCAAGTTAAGCACTGAAAGTGTCCAGCATTTTGCCTGCTGTGTAGGAGTGGAAGGTAGAAAGGAAGAAGGGGAAGAACAAGCACTCAAAAAATTACTTCAAAAGAATATACTTCCATTATTCAGGAAGGAGAGACAGATTAAACAAGTAAGGGTAAAGGCCCTACAGAACAAGGGACAGCAGAAAATACTGCAAATGGATTTCCAAATTGCATAAGTTTTAGTCATTACTATTAAAGAAATCCTGGAATTATCAAGTGACCAAGGAAGTGCTGATATACCAAACCCCTCACCTTTTGATATTCCCATGAAGAATTCCAAAATTATGTAAATACTCCACAGCTCGGATGACTCCCACAGAAATGCTAATTCGCATCTCCCAGGTCAGTGGAGCACAATCATCCTGCAAGGAAGGGAGAGAAAAATCTTTATTTTATAGACTAAAACATGGTAAGACATTGGTAGTTTTGAAACCCAGAGGTTTAGTCTGAGTCCCAGTCAAAACTCCAGGAGAGAGCTGCAGCCTTTCTGGTGCTTGCAGTCCAGGTATTTGGGCACCCTTTTTTTCCGGTTGTTTCTCAGAGTCCAAAGAGCCACGGTTTCCACACAGTAGCAGGGCAGGACTTGCAGTCACAGGTAGATCACAGACCCGGGTCATTGCTTACCTGGCACTGGAGCTTGTTTTGCAGGCAGCCATTGGGCAGACAGTGCAGGCCAGTTTCCACCGAGAAGCCCAGCAGCTGCAGAATGTTGATGTGACAGCACCTGCAGGCACAGATCAGCAATCGTTTGCAAATGAAATAAGAGCAACACAGAAAAATACATCCTGAGCTAAAAATACATCCTGAGCTGGACTAAGTTCCTAAGTTCAAGGCAACTGGAATGGTGTGCTGCAGCTGGAAGCACAGCTGGAAGCACAGCAGGGCCCCGGGCATGGTGGCAGAGCACTGCCTGAGCAGGAGCCCAGGGCAGCACAGCCCTGCCTGAGCAGGAGGGGCACGGAGGGGGCACGGAGGGGGCCCTGCCCACCCCAAGGGCTCAGAGCGGCCGTGCCAGCGCAGGCACAGCCCCAGGCCCTGCTGCTCACCCAGGGCTCCCATGAGGCAGCGCAGCAGCCTCGTCCTGGCCCGCACAGAGCCACAGACACCCCCAGGGCTGACCCAACACCCGCCGGCAGCGGGACAGGCACCACTGCCCCTGAAACACAACCACTCACCGAAAGCAAATCTGCACTTCCGTGTGAAAGAACCTCTGGGTAGAATTTGGGCTTGTGCATTCCAGCTGAAAGATGAAACGTGCAACACAACGTCAGTCGTAACTAACAAGGTGCTGCATTTATACAGATCTGTTAGTCTCTTGCTGCTGAGCTACTGCAGGTAACAGGCAAGTACCACTGATGGCAATGTTAAGTCGAAGGCAATAATTAATTGAGAATTAGAACAAAAACATTGTAAAGACACCCCGATGCAATCATCAATGCAGGCTACTCCCATGGATAGAGTTAAATATCCATCACGTGTGTTTGCTGGATCTAGGTTTACTTATTTACATCATTTCCTTTTTATCTCCTCTTGTGTAGCCATTCCGGTTCCTTGCCCACACAATATTAAACAACAACTGCTAATAGGAAAGAGGTGTTAACAACATATCCCCTTCTAGAAAAAGGTGCAGTACTCGCCTCTTTCAGTCTTTTGATGACATACACTACGTTGTTCCTCTGACCTTTGTAGACATCTGCAAAAGTACCTTCACAGATTCTGTTCTTGTCACTGAAACCGTTCGTGGCATTAGTAACTTCCCTCTGGGCCCACAGGAGACTCCCGCTGGGGAGATCAGCCATTGTCTCCTGCTGAGGAGTAGAAGAGCTGCAAGGCTACACATTTGTAGAAGAAACAAGTTTATCTCATGAAAATCTGCGTCCTTTTTCCTTCTTTCAAGTGTCATATTTTCTTTTCCATGATTTATGCAGTCACTGTGATTGCTGAATGAAACTGAAAGGTACTGTGCAATCACTCCTTAGGGTGTAGGTAATACATAATGTTGTTATGATGTAAAAATTCTGCATTGCAGAAGCTACTTGAAATCAGTTACCAATTTGCATTTCCACCTTTCCCAGAAAACAGACTTAGTTTTGTTTAAAAGTCCATATATTTATGTGATGTTAGTTTAAGCTACAAAAAATAGTAATCTTTATGGCTATGAGACAGTTGGATAAGAAAGTGGTGTCCCTCATAATGTATTTATGCTCTAGTAGGAACTTCACATTTACTTCTGGAGCACCTGGTGTCGGTTTCACAATAATTTTTTGCTTCCAGTGTGGCAAGTCCTAATACCAATTGTAATTAGAGTTCCACTGTAGCCTAATCATGCAACTTTCACAACCTTAATGTGCACCAGCTTTGAGGAAACAAAGCATTAACTCTTTCTCAAGAAACTCTGAAACTACTGCACTCTTTGAGGTAATCTACTCTCCTGGCTGGTGCTCCTGAACCATGTTACTGTGGAAGAGTTTAAAGCCTCAAACAAAATAAACCACAGAAAACAACCGTGATGGGAGCAGAGTGTGCCCATGGATCTGGGAAACACCCCGAGGACAGGACAGATCTAGCTAGACAGTCTGAAAGACAGGAGAGCTGTGGGGAGGCAGGGACAGGAAATGTGTGCTGAAATCGTGAGGAACATGAGGAAAACTTCTCCCACAGAAATGGTTAGGCACCAGAACAGGGGCTCAGAGAGGTCATGGAACCTCTCTATCCTGGTAGATTTTCCCCTGTCAGCTACACAAGGCTCTGGATAGCAACACTTAAATTTAATACTAGCCTAGTTTTGAGCAGGAACCACATTTTAAGTATAAAATGAAACTAAAAGATATATGCAGTTCTGACTGGTCAATGCTAACTACTGCCCTGACCTGTGATCACACCAGGAACGGTAAGTCCTCTGTAAAATCTGTACTGGAGAGCTCTTCAAACTCAATTGTTATTTGTGGGCATGTTATCTCTTCCAAGCTACGCAGTATGCAATACTGTACATTTTTCCCTCACTAGTCCTTCACTGGCAAAGAGAGATGTAAACCATAAGGAGTCCAATTGAAGCATTAGCACTCTATTCAGTCCAAACCCACTGTAACTGAGCCCCACATTTTCACCAGGTCTATGGCTTTTTGTACAAATAGAGGGATAAACTCTTAACTAAAAAACCACAGGATGTCATAAAAGCAATTTTCCTTTTTATAGTCACTGAAGGGAATTTACCTTCACACTTGATGAGACAGGAGGACTGGACTGTAGGGAATTCAAAAGGTCTCTCGGGGGAGGTGGTGGAGCAGGGAGGGAATACAAGGCTCCTTCAGAAACAGCACCTGAAACTGAAATAACAGCATTGAAAATACACCTTATTTTTATAATACCACAGCCCATGACTAACTATAAAGGTCTGGGAATTACGAAGGTCTGGGGTATTTTGTTGAAGTTCCTGACCAGGGATAATCTCTGACAAGCTGTGAAATGCTGTGTGAAGACAGGGAGCTCTCTTCCTGGTTCCTGTTTGCAGGAAGACTGCGTAGCTCTCTCCAGGGCTGGCTGGGGACACGGAGCTCCCTGTGTCTCTGCTGTTGCAGATGTTCTCCCACATATGTGCTGGGGTTCTCTCCTTCCCTCTCCCACACAGAGGGGCTGCTGACCCCTGTCTGGTTCTCTGCTGGCCTAGATTATTGTGCACAGAGAGAGGGATATGGGGCAGGAAATGCATGCACTGGTCTAGTCTTAGCAGGGAGCCAGAATGAGACCACGGCGGTCAGAGACCTGGGATCCTGAGATCCCAGGGGACAGACACAGCCAGCATCTCTCAAGGCCAAAGGAGCTATAGGAAGGAGGACCAGGAAGCAGCGTGCTAAAGTCAGGAATAAACAGGATACAGCAGTGCTAGGAAAAAGGCAAACACTCCAGTGTGCCCACTGTGGAGCTCAGTGTCGTCACTGTCCGATCCCGACCCGAACACGCAGCAGCCTTGGCTGTGCAGTCACTTCATGTCAGAGCCAGTTCCGAGTCTGGGACTGTACTTACTGCCTGCTGAGCCTGGCGATGGCAACACGCTTATCTCGTTTTCTTTCTCTCTCCTTTGGCCTTCTGTGGGAGGTACAGATGTGATCTCCTGTTTGGGGGGCTCTACTGGCTCCTTTTTCTCAGGGCTGGTAACGTTAGAGGCAGATGTCCCTTCAGCACAGAGCAAAGGCAAGATGAGGAAACACTTTCCTATACAAAACTATTTGCAATGAATACTCATATTTCTACTTATGGAATAGAAAGAAACACACCAGAGACAATCTAGGAAAAACATAAAATTGGTCAAAGCTCAAGACTTGCTGGTATCTAAGGGAAAATTAAAGGCTGAATTACCAATTCATTAGAACTCTAACAGATCCTGTGCTGTACATAGCTTGGCAAAATCTCAGAGTCAGGCCTGAAAAAGCAACCTGAAGTCAGGTTAAAAGAATGACAAAGATGCTTTTGGTGTACAGGGACTGGAAAAACATGTACATCTGAGGGAGAATTATTCAAATGAGATTAGACTACAGTTAGGATAGGAACAAAATAAAGTACAAAATTTCAAGATACTGTGATATAGGAGGCTGTCAGAAACTCCTGAAGAAGCATGTGAATTCTTATCTGTAAATACATTTAAAACTGAGGTTGAAAAGGAGCCTGAAAATGGCCTGTGTGCACTAGGGGTGATATAAGGCCTGTCTACTCCCTGAGAACAACATTTTGCTGGTTGTAGCTCTAAACTTCTGTTTCTACCAGGCACCTTTTATCAGCAATACATTCAGCATTTTCTTAAAAATCAAAATTAATGTTTTATTTTTACATAAAGTAAAATAAGCTCAAGTATTATTACATGGGGTTTTTTTGTCCTGTTGTTCTATCAGCTTTGTATCTTAAGCACAGTGGTGACCTCAGAATCAAACGTGTCAGGCCTCTGTTTGCATCTGAAATCGGGTAACAGCTTTGTGTTCTTTGATTTGTACAAACAAAGCCCAGGGAGTACCTGGAACAAGCAGGAAGCTGTGTGTTTGATGTGTGAGCTGGGCTACTTGACCAAGAGTCAGTGAACCGTGTGAGAGAAGCCAAGTCATGGCAGGTTCAGGCACTGAGGCTCAGGAGCAGCAGTACCTGAAGAGCACTAATGGTAGAAATGGGCATGTTCTGTTTGGGGTTTGTATCTACTTTCTTTAATGCCACCTATGAATTCAGGTTTGAATGAAACTAGGTCTGAAAATTAAAACTCAGAACACTCAGGTATGTTTGTTACTGTGCCAGAATGCTATGAAATCCCAAATTTACAGATTTTGGAAATTAGCCATCGAGCAGTCTGCAGGCCTTTAGTTAAAACTGACAGTTGGCGTTTTCCTCCTGTAGTTTAACCTAGAAGTCTCAGAAGTTAGACTCTCTTCCCTCATTCAACCTACTTTTCAGGGTTTTTCATGACTTTTGCAACTTCCTGCACATCAGATAAACAGGGCAGCACTGCAGCTAAAGAACTGACATAGAAAAAATTATTATGGTCATTCAGAAGTGGGACTAGGGAGTGGAAGAAACTGTTGAACAGAGATAAAACTCTTTGGGAAATAATCTTCCAGCGAAGCATCTCCCTGTGCGCTGTGTCCTATTCCTTTAAGTTGGAATGACTGGAATTATGGTGATGTGAGGACCGCTATGTTTTCTAAAGTGCCCAACAGAACAAGCAATGTATCCTCCATATCAGCCCCAGAGGGATCACCTGAATAAGTATATTCAGACACAGAGAAAAAAGCAGAAATAGTAGATAAAAACTTTAAAGATTGGTCTAAACCTCTGGAAATCACTTCTGCTTATGAGTGAGCACATAGTGAAATGCCCATATTGGGTTAATTCCAGAAAAAATTAACTACTTCTGCATGGCAGAACCACAAAATAATCCAGACTTCCTGCCACTTACATTAACATGAAGTTTTGCTATGGACCTCAATATAAAGGACAACAGTAAGAAGCTTTTAAAAAACATAATTTCGTTGTACTTTTGCAATTTGTTGCATTTGAATTGATCTGGGACAAAATTAATACTGATCATCCAAAATTATAACTAAAAAGTGATCACAGGATTTTTCTCTTCCATCCTCTTTTAAACCCCCTTTATCTAGCCTTCATGTTGCTTTACAGAACCCAGAGTCAAAACCAAAGTCACCTGGAGCTCCTTGTGCAGCTGCAGAGCAGCCCAGTGCCACACTCGCCCGCTGTCACACAGGTCTGTCAGGTTTATCACAGCAGTTCAGTAGCTCAGTGAGCTCAACAGAGGATGCCCATTTCTTGCCACAATCTCTCAGTATTTACTCTCCCTGCTCACTATTAAGCCCACAGATATCATTACAAACATCTCTGTTTAGTTGCATCAGCCAAGTGCAATTTTGAGAAGCTAAGCTTTTCCTCAGGAATCCCAAAGCGTACTCCTCCAGCCTGGAGGAAGTTGATTGGGTTTTATTTTTAACAGGGAAAAACACTCAGTTTTTGCAGCTTGTGGCAACTGAAGTGCAAAAAATCTCAGAAATATTTTTGAGAAAGCTCAAAAAAAGAACAAAAGGTAAGTGATAGCAGCAGAAAGGAAACCCTGTGGTTCCTGTGCCAGGGGCACCTTGAACAAGCACCCTGACACACCATGGGGAGCAAACCAGGCAGACCCCGAGGGGGATGGTGTTTCTCTGCAGGGATGATGATAATTTTTGTCCGTGTCGTGTCTCTACTTTTCATGGCCAATTGCTGGAAGCTGCTCTTGTATTGGAAGCCTGCATTTTACATGACCAGAGAGGCCAATTGTACCTGGGTCTTGTGTGAGCAATCTTGGCAGGAGCTATAACATGCTGCCTCCCAGGATCCAGTGATCCAGTGCTACAGGACCCTCTGTGTAGCCTCTGTGTTCTGAAACCCCATCTGATGCATAAAAGACCCAGACCAGGTTTGGGCACAGGTTTTAACCTGTCTCCCTGGCACCTCTCTAAGGGTCCAAGATGGGCACTACAAAGGTGAACTGGGGGAACCACTGAGTCCTCCTGTGTCACCTCTTCCCTCCCACCACCAATTTTACTTAGAGAGAAGAAAATCACAATCAGTGGAGACATTTTAGAATTTGAGGATGTGACTCCCAACAAAAAATTTCTTCAGCTAGCAAGGGAGATGTCCTGGGGGCGGGGGCTGGATGCTGTGAGGAGCAGCAGAGACCCGCAGGAGAAAGGGGCAGCTACTCACAGTCCAGGATGACCTGAGCTGCTCGGTAGAGCTGCAGCCCTTGCAGCAGGTCCAGGAGCTGCTGCACTGTTGCCAGCCTCACTCCCCACCACCACATCAGCTCCCTTGTGATGCTGATCCCTGTCTTCTCCATGGACTTGATTTTCCGTAGCTCTGTTTGATCAGTGATCACGTAGGAGGCTGGTGGGAGAGAACAGATATTGCTGTTTAAAAATTAGAGAAACTAGCAGGGCAAGCAAGTTCACTTTTGCATTTGCACAGTTTTAAAAGGAAGGATCACAATAAATTAGCTAAGCACAAAGCAAATTCTGTTCTAAAGTAAGATATCCCTTTTCTTCCTTCTACTATTCTGGAAAAAATGTTGTTGTATCATAGACACTCGAAAAGAAACCCCAGTTACACTTTTCAGCATATTTTCCCTGTAATCTTCTTTCTCCTTAGTACTTTGTGTACCAAAGTAAGTTCAGATTAAATTCCTGGGGTGATTCTCCCAAATCAGGTGACAGCAGCCAGTGGTGTGGGTGCACTCCTGCCTGCATTCCTAAATCCCAGTGCTGTGGTGAGCCAAACAGTAACTGAATCACCTGGGTGTTAGTTAGGTGCTGATAAAGCTATCAGGGAAACACAGGCAGTTTTAGGAGCAGGAGATCCCGTGCCAAGGCTGACCCTACACGCACATGCTGGTCACCCCCTGTGCTCTTCCCATCTCGCTTTCCCACACGAAACCCCCCTCCCCTCACAGCGCTGCCCTCCCTCCCACACACCCGGGGCTGCAGTCTCGGAGGGGCTGTGCCTGAACCAGAGGGGCCGAGGGCTGCGCTGTGCGTGTGGAGACAAAGATTCCCAAGTTCCCACCCCAGCCAGTTTCAGAAGGACGTCAGAAATACAGTTTTATACATCTGAAAGTAGTGGAGATGAATCCCACCCTACATCAGGAAGATTAACTGGGGTAAGAGCTTATTCAGCAGACAGTTAGGGAAGTCTTGAATGAAATTAAATCATGTCAAATAAAGGAAGGTATGCACTAAGAAAAGATTCAGGTTAGAATTGTCTGGACTGGGATACAGACCCCCCCCCAAAAAAAAAAACAAAACAAACAACTCAGGGACTACATTTTCTGTACTTTTTGACTGGACATGGCCAGGACCAAGAAAAATAGGGACAGAAAGTATGAGGAGATAAAGTATATGAAAAGAAGGAAGAAAGAACAAACCAGAACATCTGACCAGATGTGAAGGATGTGAAAACAGGCAGTGAGAAGCGGCAGGAGTTGCAGCGTGACTGGAGAGCGAGGGGAGGGAGCCTGGCTGCCCGGGAGGAGCCAAGGAAACACAGAAATCTGGAATTCCACCTTTGTTCGAAAAACAAAACCAGATCGGTGCCCGGGAATTCCCTGTCTCCAGGATATGCTCTGCCGAGCGCTGGGAAGGGCTCGGCCGTGGGGTCCCAAAGGCGCTGCTGCCCCGTCCCCGCCGCCAGCCCGCCGCGCCCGCGCCCTCACCGAACCGCATCCAGTCGTAGTCGCTCAGGCAGTCCATCTTCTGGCAGAAGTCCTCCAGCACCCAGGCGGGCATGCTGTGGATGTACAGCGCCGGGGCCGAGCCCGCCCTGGGGGCGAGGGCCGGCGGCTGCAGGGCCATGGCTCCGCGTCCCGCTCGGCCCCCTCAGCCGCGCATGGTGCGCGCCCGGGCTCGCCGCTCTCGGCCTCCTCCGTCAGCTGCGGAGGCGGATTTTCTCCCAAAGCTTCCTCTTCTCCGAGACCTGTCCTCCCGGCCTGCCCCAGCCCGGCTGCGGGGGAAGGGCCAGCGACACAACGAGCGATCCCCGGCAGGCTCCGACCGCAGCGCTGCTTCCTGCTCCGCCTGACGTCAGGCCCCAGGTGCAAATCACATTTTCCTTTCCGCGAGCGGGTATTGCTCCAGCCCGGTTGCCAAAGCGCGGGTTTCACGTGACGGAGGCCAGAGCCGGTTTCCCGAGTGTTGCGCAGCCGGCACAGGCCGTGTGGGAGCGGGGCCCGCGCAGCGCCCGCCCGGGACACCGAGCCCGGGACGCTCATCCCGGGACACCGAGCCCGGGACGCTCATCCCGGGACACCGAGCCCGGGACGCTCATCCCGGGACACTGAGCCGGCGGCTCCTGCACCCCGCGGGCACGGGGGTGTGAAAAGGGATCCCCTGGAGCTGCGCCAGCCACGCTGCCCACCGGGCTGCGAGACAAAGGTCTCACGAGGGCTGAGAAAGGAACGGCCACCACCAGAGAAGGCACTAAAAGTGCTCCCAGCGTTTTCCATCACTGCAGCACACGGGAGCTCACTCATTACCACATGTGGTACCGTAGCAGATGCAAGGAGTGAGAACTAAAAAACATCAGAAGTGGTCAGAGGGCCAGGTCTTGCTTGTCAAGGATGAGGTTTAAAGTATGTTCTTAAAGTTGGCAATTTTTCTAAATTTTTTTTTTAATTTAACCTGCTTTCGATTAAAATAATTAATTAATTAGCCAGTATAATTGCTACAAATACTTCTGCCAAAACGGTCTACCTGGAGAACCTTCCTGCTGTACCTCTGCTACCACAGAGTGCCCACAATACCTAACTGAAACGATCCCTCTTTCTGTTCCTGTTGTTGGTGTTTAGCCCTAGGTCTACATTTAAATGAACTGAAATCAGTGCTGTAAGTTTTGAGAGCTTTTAATTTACTATTTCTTTGTACTCTGCATATACATAACAGTACAACTAACTCTTGTTTTCAGTATCAAACCTTCAAACTTTGGCAGTTTTTTTACACTTCTGGCCTAAGAAATCATGAACCTCTCAAATACTACTCAAGTAACAATGAATTTCTTAGCCCATATTAGCAGGGAAAAGCTGAAAAAATGTGATATTGATAAAGCTATAAGGTCAAAAGACAGAAAAAAACCTAAACAAAAATATCCAAAGTGTATTATTATTTAAAATATGACAACTCAAAGACTGCCTTGAGAAGAACTGTTTTAGCAGTAGTACCAGTTCAACAATAGTTGCATTTATGGGGTTTTTCCCTCCGTTTTCCCTGCTTACTGTCCCTCTGACATACATCTAAATTCTGTCATGGGAAGACAGAGCACCTCTGGAAGTGATGTAAAATGAGACCGAAATTGTGTTGCAAGGAACTGGATAAAAGCAGGAAGAAAAGACACTTCTTCCCCTTGGGTACTAGAAAAACTTGTGAAACCTTTTAGACTATTTGCCTCAGGGGAAAATGAGGGGAAAGAACACATCCAACTCCATGGCTGGCTTCAGTTCTGCTCCCAACATTACATGTAATGCAGGGTCTTACAGGGAAACTGGAATGACTTTCCAAACAGACTAGAACGATCCTGTATATTCATGCACTTCAGCCTTCCCTTTCCAACAGTGTGGTGTGGGCAGGACTCTGAACTGCTGCGGGTTATTTCTCCCCTTCAGCTGTGCCTCACCACTTCCTGCCACAGCAGAGCCCTAGGGCTGGCCCTGAGCCCTGGCTCTCACCACTGCCCCTGGGATGGCCACCAAGGTGGGGCTGGGACTGCCTGAAACCACCCAGTGTTAGTGAAGCTGCCACAAGTCAATGACGACATTCATTTATTGCTAATGCAGCTGAGTAACTAGTAGGAGGCTCCATTTCCCAATGTTCATGTCTTAGAGCCACATGGGGTTTCTCCAGCCTTTTATTCTGACCCAGAGGAGCATTCCACAACAGAAAAATACACTCTAATAAGCAACACAAGAGATCACAGACCCCAGCCAGCTCAGAAATACCCAGAACGTGTGTGCCACGTACAGATCTGTTAAAGCCAACATCTAATGCCAACTCTGTTAGAGGAAAAGCTGCAGCCAAGCAGGCCAATTTTCTGTCAGGGCCCAGTGGAACTGCCACGCTCATCGAAGTGCAAGGCCTCAGGAGGGAACCACCTCCTGGGTATGGGCAGGGCAGACCCTCCCACCCTCAGCCTCCCTGGGGCACTGACCCGTCTGCTCCTGAGGCCCATATGGGCACCCTTTCCCTTCAGAGATCTATGAGAGGTGGTAAGAGCAGAACTTGCCACGTACTCCTTCTGCCCAGACACTGCCCAAAGCTGTGCTGACAGGTCTTGTGAGCCACAGCACAGTCCTGCAGCAATGGGCTGGGCAGGTTGTACAGTCCAAAGTGCCTGTTACTGATCAACCATGACTGTCCAAGTATCACAGGGATACAAACACATCGGCACTGCGAGGTACCTGACAGAATCAGTCAGAAAGGTAGTGTGGATTTTTATGTCAAAGATCAATTCACACACTTCAAATACGTAAGAAAGACAAGTCAACGAATAGGGGAGACATTCCATACTTACAGAATACATTGAGATTCTCAGTTTCACAGCTGCTCCCAGAATGTACAACTGCAAACAAATGTATGCACAGACATAACCTGCTGTGATCTCCTGCCAACCTGCTTCTACCTGAGCAGCACCACATCTGTTACTGGTAGAAAAGTCATGTGTCTGCTGAAACTATGCTGCTTTCAACTCTGTGCATTCACATGAGGACACATTTCACTGAGGTGTGAGGGACACAATATGGGCAAAGAAATGCTATCTCTGTTTCTCCAGCCTGCCACAAAGCATGGCCCTGCCTGTGAACTGGCTGCGTGAGCCCATACAGCCCCTGTTGGTCCTGAGGAGACAGGCCCAAAAAGGCCCCCCACTGTGACCTGGACCACAGCACTGTGATGGAAAGAGGCAGGACTCAAAGCATCTACCTCCTGTGAACCCTGTACAGGCTGCTGGGAAAGCAGCTGTGAAGGACAAAGGTGTCCAAAACTAGGATCTGGTCTCTGTGGCTGAGATCAGCCAGGCAAGAATTCAATCATGAAGGCAAATAAGGCATTCAAGGTATGATATGAGTAAAAACGCATCAGCTGCAGTGCAGATACAACATGGGTTTGTATAAGTGCAGAGGTAAGAGGCAGAAAAACCCCAAGCCTTTACACATCATTTTTCCACCAACATAACGTTTGTCAGGTCTTCAGGTGGTACTGGAAACCCTGACATACAAACCCCCACGCTGTGACCCACAGGCACATCGAGGCATGCATGACAGGGAAATTCCATCAAAACAAATTACTCAAACAAAACCGGTGTTGATCTGCCACTTAGAACCATTAGTTTGGGTTAAATTAATCCTTGGTGTGATTTGCTTTCCAATACAATGAAAGTTACTCTGTATGAATAAGTTCCATATAGCTGCCCTGATCTTACATCCCTACGCAGTGTCCAAACTTCTGAGCTTCATCCACGCGAGGCCTCCGGAGCCGTCAATTTGTGATACATGTAACGAGGAACAAACCTGAACCATCACAAGCTGGCACACTCCAGGTGTTGTTCAGTCTTTGGGATCTGACTTACCATCACCAACTTAACTGAGTCTATGTTCCAGAACTTTAAATGGAAGCATTGGTTCTTGATGTGTTTCCTGGTGACTCTCGCTGCTCAAACTCAGTGGTTTGCTATTGAAGAGTCTGAAGTGAGTAATCATGTTATTCCAGAATTCCATTGCTCAACGGTTCACTCCTCTCCAGAGAAAGCCGCTGAAGATCCTTTGAAATATCTGGATGATCCTCCAGCTCTTCATATAATGACCGAACAATGTCCAGTTTCCTGTAGTCCACCGGGCTGACCAGACTGCGCACGACCTGCAGACATCTCTCCTTCAGGGTGAACACTGGGGTCAAACAAAACACGGCCTCGTCACGAGGGCTCTCAGTTGCTGCTCCAACATCCACAGTGCAGCTCTGAGCACAGGAACACAGAGCACAGCCCGCAGCAGCGTCACCCCCCACAGGCTGGGCTCACCAGAGAGGGGTGGGACGTGGTTCCTGCCATGAGGCACCTATGAAACCCCTCACAGATCCTTTACAGGAGAGGTCTGTCCCTAGCTCTACCCAGCACCACAGCTCTACCTAGAAACCCTCACCACCTCTTCCTGTGTCTGAGCAGGTTTACTTCTGATTTCTCACTCATCCTTACACTGAAGTTCAAAGAGACTAAGTTCAGAATTCCCCAGGGCACATGCAGGGCTGTCCCTTACCTGGCAGTGTGATGTCAGCTTTGGTCACGTTGGGGGCTACCACAAACAGCTCCTGCTGGTTGACAAGGAGCCCATCGTTGGTCCCTGCATCCCGGAACAGCCAGAGGTGCCCTGGGAGGGAACAAGGGGGGAACGCAGCAGTTATGGCACTTTTTAATGAGCAGCTCTGAGGGGCACTCGCGAAGGACTGAGCTTTATCCGTGAGGGACCGAGCTCCTCTCCAGCTGAGCTCCCTGTTCACCACCACCACGGCCTTGGTAACTAGTGTGAACCGGGAGGGGAAAGGGAAAAGGGAAAAAGGGATGGAAGGAAAAAGGAAAGGAAAAAAGAAAAGGAAAAAAGGAAGGGAAATAAGGAAAGGAAAAAAGGAAAGGAAAGAGAGAAGAGCAGAAAGAGGAAAAGGAGGAAAAAAAAAAGGAAAAGAAGAAAATGGTGAACCCCACCGCTACCATCTCAACCACCTGGGCCCCGCGACGCCCCAGCCCGCCGCACCCACCACGGTAGCTGCGCATGACGCGGCCGGTGCGCGGCTTCAGGACCGGGTAGCCCTGCGGCAGGCCCTCGAAGTCCAGCCAGACAGGCAGCACGTGGCGGGGGCTGTGGTTGTTGAAGACGACCTCGGAGAGCTCCCGTGTCTTCTCGGAGCGCAGCGCGGGCCCGGGGCCGCCCGGGCCGCTCACGGACCCCGGCAGCGGCGGCTCCATCCTGGCCCCGCCCCTCGCGACACGCGGCCCCGCCCCTCAGCGCCTGCGCACGGCCGGGCCAGGAGCGCGGGGCGGGGCTTGCCGTGAGGGAAGCCCCGGGGGGCGGGAACGGCGCTGCCCCTCAGGGACCCTTTCACCA